GTCGACGCGGCGCGCGTCGCGCGCATGCGCCGCGCCGTCGCGCGGCGGCGCGATGCGGAGCCCGGCGCGACCCACGACGGCTACCGCTGGGACCAGGGCTGGCTCGGCGACGGCGACTTTATATCCGCGGCGACGCATCCCGTCGTCCTCGCCGTCGCGGAGGCCTACCTCGGCGAGCCGCTGGCGCACCTGCGCTGCCTCCACGCGCCCGTTGCCAACACGCTCCTGCCGGCGAAGGCGCTCATCGGCGCGGCCTTTGGGGGGCAGATGCGGCGCTCGGCGTCCCGCGGCCGCGACGAATTTCGAGAGATCGCGACGGGGAAAACGACGAAGCGTCGCCACCGACGCATGTCGTAGGTGGCACTGCGACTACCCGTACCACGAGAAATTCACGGAACGATGGCCCGCGCGGCCCGTGTCGCTGCAGTTCAACCTCTGCGTCGACGAGTTCCGGAGCGACAACGGCGCGACGCTGTACTTTCCGGCATCCCATCGGCGGAACCGCTGGCCGACGGAGCTCAATCGGGGCGCCACGGGGTCGTCGGATCCCATGCACGCGACCAAGAGGCAGTTCCTCGCGCCCGCGGGGTCCGCGGTGCTCTACGACTCGCGGACCTGGCACCGGCGGCCCGACGAGCTCAACGTGAGCGGCGAGGCGCGCGTGAACGTGCTCCTGGCCTTCTCGCACAAGTGGATGCGGCCCATGATCCCCTACGGCGACGAGGCCGCGAAACTCCGCGGCGGCGGCGCGCTCCTCGGAAGTCTGACGCGGCGCGAGCGCGACTGCGCGCTGCTGCTGTTCGGCGGCCCCGACGACGGCGGCGACGGCGACGTCGGCATCGAGGAGGTCGACCTGGCGGGGAGCGACGCCGACGACGGCGGCGACGACGACGTCAGCATCGAGGAGGTCGACCTGGCGGGGAGCGACTCCGACGATTCCGCGCCTGATTAAGTCGATGTTGCACAAGTGATCATGACTTCAACTTAAATAGGACAGCACGATATGAGGCGGGGGCGCTTAGAATCTGCACTCGAAGGGCGGACCTGTATCTTGAGAAAATCGATGGCAAAGAGGGCTCTGGCAATGGTGAGGGGCTACTTTGGCATGCTCGTTCTCGGCGCCATGGCCACCGATTCCTTTGGTTCTTGTTGCATCTGAAAGGGCTCAATGTCGTCTTGCGCGCAGAGCCAATAACTAAAAAAGTTCAACAGCCTAAAAAAGTGCGGATTCAACACGCCCCCGCCTCATATGGGCGCGTGAGGCAGCCCAGAACCATGCGCGACCCGTCGGGCCTCCGGCAGCGCGACGAGTCGTGGCACGTCGGGGGGCAGTGCATCGTCGTGCTCGTCATGTGCTTTTTTGCGTCATTGCTCGCCCTCCTCCGCGTCGTCCGCGCGATCCAGACCTGCCTCGACGCGCGGCGCACGAAAGAATCGAACTCGCGGAGCCAGGAGGCGCACCGGCGGCGGGCGCTGGTCATGCACGCGGCGAGTTGCGCCGTTTGTCTCTTCGGCGCGGGCTTCGGCTGGCTCAACTTCGGGCTCGACTGCGCCGTCGGCGAGCGCGCGCACGACGCCGTCGACGAGGAGATCCTGGCGGCCATCTTCCTCGGGCCGCTGAGCTTCTACTGCTGGCTCCTCGCGCGCGAGAGATGCGCGCCCGTCTTCTTCTCGTCGCGGACGCCCGGGTGGCTCGAGCCCTGTCTCTACGTGCTCGTGGCGAGCC